TTATCTATAAGGATAAATAGCAAAAACAATGACGGTTAGCCAAGGTGAGTTTGAATTTTTGTACCACCATTTGTGTGATAGAGGGCAAGTTCATTTAAGCTCCTACCTGGAAGAATGGGTGTAAATATTCATATGAGTCACCTCTCAGCATTGTAAAAACCAAAGAAGATAATATGTGCATGAAAGAGATTTCATGAAACAGCTTTGACAACGTAAATATCCAGTTATGACTCAAATTATGAAAGAACAACATTTTAGGAAATGTGTAGGAAATTGTCTGTGAATAAAAATCTTTCTTTAAACCAATATGTCATTAACTCTAACCTTTGAATAAAATAAAGATGAGTTTATATTTGATGCATATTTAGGACTGGATTCTACTTAGAAAAAACGTGAAATAAGCCTAATAAATAGTTTGGCTTTTGAGGTTCTGAATAACTAATCCTACAATGAGATCCTAATAACTAATCAAAGAGATCCGTGCCTTCTCCTAGCAACAACCCCATTTCTAGCCATCCAGGGAGCTTGCAAGTGCCCCATTCTCCTCCTTTTCTTCCTCCTTATTGTTTTATTCCTCTTCCTTTTTGATTTTCTTCTTGTGGTGTACTTTTCAAGGAGAGGGAAAATATTTTTAGTCAAGTTCATTCATTCCAACAATAACCACCTACCCAGCCATTGGTCCAGCATCTACTTACTGAACATTTACCAAGGAAGTGTGAATACTCAGATAGAAGCTAAGAAGAACACACACACACACACACACACACACACACACACACACACACACACACCCTCATAGAATTTGCAGCTTAGAGGGAAAGAGTTCACAATATCAATTACAAAATGATAACTATAAAAACACAATTGAAAAGAACATACCTGCAAGAAAGGGAAGTAGAACGTTTCAACAAGACTTGAGCAAGCAAAATAGATTTACCTAATGAACATTAGCTCAAGATCTGAAGAATGAATAACTAGGTAAGGGGCCAATGAAGAAATGGGGAAGCAAAGTAAGGTGGTCTGGAGCTTGGTAGGGAAGGACATTTCAGGCAGTCAAAACAGATGTGCAAAGGCCCTGTTCAGGGTAAGAACTTGCATTCATCATGGAACTGAAAGACATCAATTTAGATGGGATGCTGAGCAAAACTGAGATCTGTGATGGAAGTCTGCAGATGACCAAGAGACGATGTCGTGTCGCAGGCCACAGCAAAGGTCTCAGTCTTTTTTATGAGTACAATGAGAAGTCCCTGAAAATTTTAATCAGAGGGTGACATGATAGAATTTATATTTTGAGAACTTCAGTGGATACAAATGGTAGTTGGCGATAAGGACACATTGCACATTCATTACTCTGAAGACATTCCTGATAGGTCATCACAAGCATTTGTTATAAGAGATACTGAGTATCTCTCTCTACCATCTTCTTCTTTACATAATCACTTCCATTACTTCCTTCAGCATTGGGATTAAGTAGTGTATGTACCACATTTACTTTAAAATTAACAATTATTATTAAATTTGATCCTACCTGAAATTCCATCCACATTTGCAAGACTTTTCAAATGTGAATGAAATTAACCTCATTTTCTATCTTCTGCATTCTTTTTCTTAATCAGACTTTGCTAAGTAAAGACAGGGACCTGTTTACAGGTTATAAAATACAAATGATTTCTACAGATAAATTTTCTGGGTGCTCTGTTCCTTCCACCATTAAGAGATAAATTCTAAAGTTCATAAATTGTGTCTTTTGCAAACTTAACTATTGTAACAGTGAAATAATCTGAAAATAAAGACATTATGAATGTTTATTTCTAGAACAAGTGCAATCAAGCCTGTGTAATTAGTGGATACGTAAAATTTGGCACAGATCTAAATTTAGTCTTTAACCTCTACATGATGCTTTTGTTTAAAGGATACTTTGTGTGACCTCTCCTATGAAAAATAGATAGTACAAGTCATTTTCGAGTTTCCTTTTACCTTTTGCAGGTGTGTAGCAGACTCTGGCTGGAAGCAACGGCAGGAAGACAAGACACAAGGACAGACCCTGGGAGCAGTCCCTGCAAGCATGCATGCACAACCTCTGAAGACAGTTTTGATTCAGATCTTTGCAGATAGTTCATCAGAAATGTTCTTCTCTTTTTAAAAAAATTTGTTCAAGATATAAATGACGGTAGAATGTATTTTGACATATAATACATACATGGAGTATAACTTATTCTAATTAGGATCCCATTCTTGTGGTTATACATAATATGGAGTTTCACTGGTCATGTCATATATGAACATAAAAAAGTTATGTCAAATTCATTCTTTTCAGGGAACTAAAGATTTCTCCACAGATTCATTATTAGCTACTAGTCTCTTCTCACTCTGTCTGCTCTACTTTGGTGAGTTTATCATTTTCTGAGCTTTAACACTACTTGTGTTGACTCATAATATATCCTTAGTCCAAATCTGTCCACTTAGTTTTGGGTCTGTGAATATAAGATTTTGCTAACATACGTGGATACCCTCAGGCATGCCCATTAACTTTAACAGCATACATTCACTCATGAACTTATTATACCAAACCTCTTTCCCTTAAAATCATTCTGCATCAGCTTAGAGAATTGTTAAGACTACCCATCCTAGACACCAGCAGGGCTGAAACCAGAAATATGAACCTCATGCTTGATTCTTTCTCTTTTTCACCCACTATGCCAACTAGTTATAGTTTTATGGATCTTACCTGCTTTTCCTCACTTTTTCCTCTCTTTTATCTTCTTAATTTGAAACTTGATCTCTTTGAGTAGACTATCAACACACGTGCCTGTGTATAGTTTTTATCAATTATACTAATTTGTCCAACAAACCTCTGGGTTTTCCTTTAACTAAGACATTTCCACATAGCATTCACCTGCTGATGATATTTCAGTGGCCCCTTATAGCATCAAAATAGTGACTAACAAGATTTGTCATTTAAATTTTTTTGGCAAATTATTATTAATATTATTTAATCAGAAATAGCTAAATACATTTCCACAAGGATCTGCTAGTTCACAACAATCAGGGTACGAACAATAAGTGGGATTTTCAATGAAATTGGTTGAAATGTGGCTTTGAAATAGGAATTTCAACTTAGAAAAAACAGAAAGGTCAGAGTATGAAGGTAATTAAGCAATATGGAGACATTATGGAAAACAAAGAGAAAAATGAAAAACTGACTAATGAAAAGCATTACCTTTCTTTAAGATATGGGAAAACTCAACAAGAATAAGGTAAATAAAAACTATATTCTTGCAATGATTACTTTTGGGTTTACAATAGCAGCCACGTTAGTAAAATATCTCTTGTATCTTTTCTCAAAAACTATTATCTTATTCTTACTTCACATTTTTTCTGAATTCCATGCCTTCTGAAACATTTTTCTTAAGTATCTTATATAATTTGATAATGCTCATAATATTCTTTAACACTCTTCATACTTGGTGTCTCAATACTTTTGTTTATTTCATATGGTCCTTTGGCTTTATGTGTATGAATGGGACAGAGTTAATATAAAAATTAAAACTTATAATCATATACTAATGAGGGCTATGAAGGATGGGAAGCTGAATCACAGCATATACAGTGAATGCTAGGGGGCAGAAGACTACTTTATTTAGGTAGGCTAGTCAGGAACAGCCTGTCTTTGGAGGTAAATTTTGAGCATAGCATACAGTGAATCAGGGAGCAAATAACCAGTAGAGGGACTAGAAAGTCCATAGCCAGTGAAATAGGAACAAACTGAAAGGCTTGAGGCACATCCAGGTCTTAGTAGAATGACACAGGAAGGCAGAGAGAAGGAGATTGGGGATGTAATGGTAGGGCATTGTAGGTGCAATACAGAATGCTCTTTTTATTCTATGTGATAAGGCCTTAGAAATCTAGAAACAGGCATAATCTAACTGGTGTTTTTAAAAGACAATGTCAAGAGTGGAAAGAGAAAAGCTAGGGGATTCTCACTATAGTCCACTGATGTAAGATGGAGGCCTTCGTGAGCTGGCCTTCAAGGCGACTGGGTTTGGAATATATTGGCAAGCAAATTTGATGATGGATTATATTTGAAATGTAAAGGGAAGGGATGAATCAGGGTTGAAACAGGTTTTTATTTGAGTAATGAATTAATAAGGGTGCCATTTATTGTAAGAGAGAAGTTTAGGCTTGGAAGGAATGAGGTATAGAAAATCAAGAGTTTGTTCTGAGGTGCCTGTTGGATGTCAAGAGTAGTTGTTGTGTAATAATCAGTCTGAGATACAAGTCTGGGCAGGAAAAGAGATGTAATCATTGACATATTGATTGTATTATTCTACATGTGGGGAGACACCAAAAGATTATCTAATTTTTACTTTTACCTATACATTAATTGAAAAATATTTTCTCCAGTGTTTGAGTTTTACTTTAGAGTATATTATTCTCTCTGAAAAAATACAATGTTATTCCTTGGACATCAGGAGCATATCTGATTATTATACATGATTGAACAGGTGTGATACATAAGATTTCTAACTCTACAGAGTGGCAAGTTAAGTGCCTTTTTCTCTTCTACAAGGTTTGTTTCCTTTTACTATATTTTTACCTCTTCCTTAGCAAAAATAAAAATTGGAAATAAAGAAAATAATTAGCTTCTCTTAGCAAATACTATAATAAGCAAAGTTTTGCTTAGTCTACTGTTACCTGGAAAATACACACCTTTTCAAGGAAAATAAAGTTACATGTGATGCAAATTTATTATTTGCCATGTTCTGTTAACATTGGTCAAAGCATATTACAAAGCAGCCTTGATCTCAAGTTTATAAATTTGCATGGAAAATATGATACCTACATGCAAAAGGAACCATCATACCTATAAATACTCAAGCACTATAGTTGGCTAATGAAGAAAAAGATATTACAGTGATGCTGGCTTTGCAAAGACAAAACCATACGCAGATGGATGCAGAGAAAACCTACTATGCAATCTGAAAGGGAACATGGCTTACCCAGCGGTTGACCCGCGATGATCCTGGCATTCTCCCCGGCCACTGCAGCTCTCGCATGCCGCTCACTCATGTACTGTACAAATGCATAACCTTTGTGAACGGAACATCCGACTATTTTCCCATATTTTGAAAAAATGGCTTCAATGTCAACTTTCTTGACAATGGCTGTGTTTAAATTGCCGATGAAAACACGAGAATTGATGGACTTGGGGTCATTCTTATTGGTGACATTGCTGGTCTGTGTTTTGCCGGTCATGGTTGGCTCACCTTGTTTTAATCCTTAAACAAACAAACAAAATAACACAGTCAGAAAGTAAATAATTAGGTTCCTAGGCATCACTGGCTTTTTTTTTTTTTTTTAGCTCTTCAATATTATACTGAGGAAAACTCAAATTCCAAAGTTTTACTGATTTTCTTGAGAAAAAAAAATTAGTAATATAAAAAGTATACATTGCATGGCTAAATGCAGGGAAGAAATACTTAACATAATGTTTTGAATAAATTCCTGATTCATTTATCCAAAATTCATTTCCAAATAAAGACTGAACATTTCATAAAATTTTTATTTTTATTTTTTAAGTAAGCCCATTTTTGCAAAATAAAGTTTGAGGAATAAATTGCCTTTTTTTATGTGAACAGAAAAGAAAATGCAACATGAATAAAGTTTGATGAAATATGGAACATAGCAATGTAACCTCAGTTAGTCTTGGAGAACATGCATTTTTATTTCTCCATTTTCTATAACAGGTATATATGTTATCTATTTCAATATCAGAAACCTATTATCAGAAATCAACAGTTGATTCCATTAAAGGCTGTGGAAGAGAAAAAAGAAGGTATTAAAATCAGAAGTTAAATTAGAAAATTTAACATAAGGAAAGCATAATCTTGAGGATAAGAGATTTAATTAGAATTAATTCTGTACATGTTATTTAACTGAACCAATAGTAAATGTCAATTTTTTTAAAAAGCATGTATAATCAGTGTTCATCAATAACCCGAAAATTGGCAGAATTGATAAAACTATTGAAATTTTATTTTCAAACTCATTTTTTATCCCTTTAATAAGAGGCCTAAGGACTGTTAGTATTTTTTTAAATTTTTTTGTGAGCTTAGGAGAATGCTTAATTGTGCTTACTCCAACCTAATGAAACTTTTATTTTAAATCCATAAGTACTCCAGGACTTACGGATTTAGTTTTAAGGTCTTAAAAACTCACCTAACACCTATACTTATTAAACACATATATTCTGTCAGACATCATCTTCTATAGGACCTATTTATTTAAAGAAACTCTTATGGTGAAACTGAAATGTTGACAAACACACTCACTGACATTGATGATCCTTGTTGAACATTGGCTAATTGATACATTTTGTCAGCAACAATCCATATTTATATGAGGATTCTTAAAAATAATAAATGCATTTGATTTTTAAGAACCATTTAAAATGACATTTCTAAATTAAGTATTAAGGTGGTAGAAGTCTTAAAGGCATGTAAATTGGTATCTGAAAATCTATCCCACATGCATTTAAATGAGATACTCCTAAATTAAAAGCAACCAAGTAATATAAAAGTATTTTGGATAAAACTGTTAATTATTACTTATATGGTTATTAAGGCTTTACTACCAATGGGACCCTCAACATTATGTATTTGTCTTTATAATGAAGGTCAGTTTAATAAACAAAGCATTAAATCATTTACATAAAAATTAAGACATCGTTAGAAAGGAAGAATATAATGTTGCCTTGTATTGTTTCAGCTTAGATATATTTAATTGGCTCCCTTATAAATTACTCAAGCTAGGATTAAAAAAAAGGAGAGGTCATAATTTTTTAAAAATCCTGTCATCTGAGCTATTGTATATCTCAAGACAAATAATCTCAGAATCAACTGAAATAAAAAACAAATAAAAGGATGTGTATATAACAATGTTAGCTTTTTCACATAATCTAGTGTTAAGTTCCATTTCTTACCAGAACAGGTCAAAGTCAGTAATATGATCCATGGATGTCATATTATTTTCTTTTTGCTCACATGTGATAAATATTTTCAGAAATATCATTGTTATTTTCTATTGTGAATATTTTTTATGGTTGACATTTTATTTTCTGGACAGTAGTATATTGGGTAAGATGCAAACACAAGAAATGTTGGATTACATCAGACCCATGGTTTATAGAGCCCCAAGGTCTGTATTTGACAGTGGTCCTCAGTCAAATTTAATAAGAAGGTACATTTGGACTCTGAGTTCTCACTGTAAATGTCAACATGTGATCTTTGACACCATCTGTTTACCACATGGGGTGACCCTCATGGCAAACTCCCAGCTGTCAACTGTATAATTGTAATTAATGGCTACAAAGTACCCTAAAATCTATATGCATCTAATCTCTCTCACAAAGACTCAATTGCCAGTTTCTATTGGCATTCATGATAATGAAGGAATTATTTTGTGGTGTCATGTGTTATTACTTCAACATTCTTTAAAATCAAGACTCAAGTTGGCTTCTAATGTACCATTACTTGATTATTAGTCTAGTGTTTGGCTTGTACATTTCTGTAACATGAATTTTCAATCACTTGAGGAAGGACTTCCACTTTCAGTCATGATAAAATAACAGGGACTTAATTAAACCTCCTGACTCAAACAACTAGAAAACCAGGTAAATACAGATGAAGCAACTGTTTTTTCAGACATTAAACCACAAGAAGTGAAAAGCTAAGAGAGAAAATAAATTAAGTCCTAGGATAGCCCCAGTTTTCTGCTTGGAAAGCATGTTTCAGATCTTGGAGGCATACAAAAGGGTGGGGAGAAGTTTTGCAAGTAGACACTGACATGAAATGAGGAGATGGAGAATAGAGCACAGAGTATCTGAGAAAGTGGGGCAGTGTGTGTGTGTGTGTGTGTGTGTGTGTGTGTGTGTGTGTGTGTGTTACTGAAAACTGAACCCTAGCATTGATTGTATGCCAGGCAAGCATTCTAGGAACTGAGCTAATATCCCTATCCCTGTGAGGCAGTTTTTATAAGAAAAGAGAGCCATGCAGAAAGAGAACTCCAGAAATCTGATTCAGGCTGTCCCTTGAATCAATGCTGATCTCTGACATGCATACAAAGGGTTAAATTCCATGTGGCTGGATATAAAGATATTGTAAAGCTGTGAACCAATGAATTTCAAGATCCAAAACGGCTGAGAATTGTTCAAGTTCCTACCAGCAAAAGTGGAGAATCTAAACTGACTTCCGAAGCATCAAGTTTAGACATCAGAATTGGTAGACCTTAGTTAATGGTGACAAATGATCCTTAGGCCAATTCTAGCAAAATGTAAAAACCAGGTGATGGAACTAAAGCAATGAAAATGCCTATCAGAGAAAAGCATAATTTTTTTTTTTTTAAAAAAATAGCAACATGAAATGCATCATCTCCAGAATATGGATCAAAACCGCCTAGTGATCTTAGGCACTTGAAAAATATGACCATGACCAAGAGAAAAATGAAACATATATAAATGAATCAAATGGAACTTAAAAGATGAAAGTTAAAATATACAATAATTTTTTAAGAAACCACTGGCTAGATAAACAGGTGATAAAGCTTTGCAGAACAGATAGGAAAATTTGAAGCTGTGGGAATAGAGAATAACCAAAATGTAATATAGAGAGAAAACACTGAAAAAAAATCTAAACAGGGCTTCAGAGCTCAGTGAACAGTATCAAGCTATTTAATATACATATCTCTGGAGTCCCAGAGGAGCCAACAGAAAAATATTCAAAAACATAATAGCCAAAAATCTTCTAAATATGATAAAAATGATAATCTCACAAATCCTAGAATCTCAATGAATCCCAAGCAGAATAAATACACAGAAACCCATACTAGATACATCAGAATCAAATTACTGAAAAGCAGTGATAAAGAGAAAAATTGGGGCTGTGAGGCATTAAGAAAATGCTTACATCCTTACAGAAAAATGGGAATAACAGTCAAAGAAATGCTACAACTACAAAACAAATGACAAGGGAAATATAATTTTTTTCAGTAAAAACAGTTTCTTGGTTCTTATTTGAAAGTTTGGATGAGTTAAATTGTCTCTATGAAAGGTGCTATAAAAATAAAAGATAAACTGTAAACTATGGTTGTCTCATTGAATTTTCTGTTATGATGTGAATATTCTGTACCTGCACTATCAAAAAATGCATTTATTAATTATGCATGATTTCTGAAGTGCAGCTACTATAGCTAGCTAAGGGACTGAGTTTTAAATTTTAACTAATTAAAATAAGATCACATTCTAAAGGGTTACGCTACACAGAAAGATTAACAGGGTTTCAGACCCCTAAAATACCATAAATCAGAGACTATCAAATTATTTATGTCTAATTCACTCTTTGAAAATGAATAGCTAGTCCTGAACACTTAGGAAAGATATGATTGTGTTAGTTAAATTTAAGAAGAACAACAAAAAAGTTTAAGTAGCTGCCATGTGAGAACTAATTTAAAAGATTAAAGTTTTTATTCTGAAAATACCAGCAGAGACGGTGAATCCTCTGTAAAATCATAGAGAATGTGTTTAGAAAAAATAAAGCTTTTCATGCTATTTGAGGAAGATTTCTATCCTTGAATCCCAACAGGATATATTAGTTATGAATTACAGACATCTCTAAAGTGTACTTAGAGAAAACATTTTTTGAAGCATATAAAATTAACAGACAGTAAATCACATCCTTGCCCCAGATCTGGTGGTCCTGAATTTCCAATGTAAATATTAGAGGCATTCAGACTAAAATAAAAGGTAAACAACAGAATAAAAAGTAAACAAAAACAAAAAAATACCCAAATATTCAAAAGAATCAACCAACAATATTATTACATACCCTATTTAAGAACTCCAAATAATGATTAAAGACATACAGAAAAATAAAATAAGAAAAATATAAATTATATATAAAAGTTACTATTGCTGGATTCTTGAGCTATGCTCAAATAAATACCATAGGAAAATGCTAGAGTTTATATTGTTAAGAATATAGAGATTAAATAGAAGTAACAGAAAAGAATCATATATAGACAGAGGCAGCAGGTTAAAATTGTAACTACACATTGTATCTGTGACTAAATTATTAAATACATCTTATTCCACTTTACATGGCTTCCTTTGTTTAGGTAGTTAATTAAAATACAGCAAGTACTCTAAGATATAAAAAATGGAACATATAAAAACTACAGTTGCAATTTGTCAGAGAGCACACAAATTAGAATGGGGAGGAGATAA